GGTCGTTTTTCTTAGATTCTGCCACATGGGCCTAATTGAGTAGCATCCGATTTATCGTTATTTAAGCTTAAAACGAGGATTTATGTGGCATTTATCAACCTACAGAGGACTCTTGTGATCTGTTGGTGTCATGGAATACGAAACAACAGGAAAATGGTGGGGTCAAAAACAAATCGTCCAAAAAATTATGAGCTATAGCTCATGGTTTTAACCAAAATTGGTCATTTTTTAATCTGGTCGTTTTTTCTAGATTCGGCCACATGGGCCTAATTGAGTAGCATCCGATTTATCGTTATTTAAGCTTAAAACGAGGATTTAAGTGGCATTTATCAACCTACAGAGGACTCTTGTGATCTGTAGGTGTCATGGAATACGAAACAACTAGAATATGGTGGGGTCAAAAACAAATCGTCCAAAAAAAAGTATGAGCGCTCATGGCTTTTACGAAAATCGGCCAATTTTTAACCTGGTCGTTTTTTTTTTTTAAAAAGATTCGGCCACATGGGCCTAATTGAATATCATCCGATTTATCGTTATTTAAGCTTAAAACGAGGATTTAAGTGGCATTTATCAACCTACAGAGGACTTTTGTGATTTGTAGGTGTCATGGAATACGAAACAACTAGAAAATGGCGGGGTCAAAAACAAATCGTCAAAAAAAAGTATGAGCTATTATAGCTCTCATGGTTTTAACCAAAATTGGCCATATTTCAATCTGGTCGTTTTTCCTAGATTCGGCCACATGGGCCTAATTGAGTATCATCCGATTTATCGTTATTTAAGCTTAAAACGAGGATTTAAGTGGTATTTATCAACCTACAGAGGACTCTTGTGATCAGTAGGTGTCATGGAATACGAAACAACTAGAAAATGGCGGGGTGAAAAATATCGTCCAAAAAAAAGTATGAGCTATAGCTCATGGTTTTAACCAAAATTGGCCATATTTTAATCGGGTCGTTTTTCCTAGATTCGGCCACACGGGCCTAATTGAGTATCATCCGATTTATCGTTATTTAAGCTTAAATCGAGGATTTAAGTGGCATTTATCAACCTATAGATTCTTGTGATCTGTAGGTGTCATGGCTTTTACGAAAATCGGCCAATTTTTAACCTGGTCGTTTTTCATAGATTCGGCCACGTGGGCCTAATTGAATATCATCTGATTTATCGTTATTTAAGCTTAAAACGAGGATTTAAGTGGCATTAAACAACCTACAGAGGACTCTTGTGATCTGTAGGTGTCATGGAATACGAAACAACTGGAAAATGGCGGGGTGAAAAATATCCTCCAAAAAAAAGTATGAGCCATAGCTCATGGTTTTAACCAAAATTGGCCATATTTTAATCTGTTCGTTTTTCCTAGATTCGGCCACACGGGCCTAATTGAGTAGAATCCGATTTATCGTTATTTAAGCTTAAAACGAGGATTTATGTGGCATTTATCAACCTACAGAGGACTCTTGTGATCTGTAGGTGTCATGGAATAAGAAACAACTAGAAAATGATGGGGGTAAAAAAAATCGTCCAAAGAAATTATGAGCTATGCTCATGACTTTTACGAAAATCGGCCAATTTTTAACCTGGTCGTTTTTCATAGATTCGGCCACATGGGCCTAATTGAATAGCATCCGATTTATCGTTATTTAAGCTTAAAACGAGGATTTTAGTGGCATTTGTCAACCTACAGAGGACTCTTGTGATCTGTAATTGTCATGGAATACGAAACAACTAGAAAATGGCGTAAGAACCGTAAACATACGCTTAGTTGGGGCCAAGGGTCGGGTCCGAAGGGGGCCTCGGCCCCTCACGCTCGAGCCCTATTAGTTGTGGCGTTATGAACTGTTAACATTGTTGTCAGAGAATGGTCCAAAAAACTGCAGCGATCGTTTAAATGAGCCCTGAGATAAAGTGGTTTCTGTATGATGTTTGATGCCAGGCCAGGTTATTATCAACGTTTAAAACTGTCGGGGCCCCATTGAATGAAACTATGGTATTATGGTTTATATTATAATATATATTTTTAAACTACAATGTCGGGCCCTTGAGCGTGGGGCCCTGGCCTCGGCAAAAACACAAATCGAAATGGTGGATTGAAATAATTTGGATGTGGACAGCAACTGAACGCAGATCTTTCTGTTGATCAAATGTTAATTTGAAGTTATCATATGAAAGCGTATACGAGGTACGGTATTAAAAATTAAATGTTATCATGTAAAAAAATAATAAAGACAAAATAAACAAGAAAGAAAAAGTTTGATCTGCATTTAGTCGGTTTGATTGCTAAAAATTCGATGTTAGAAACGGTTAGGAAAACGATATTTTTTGTACTGTTAATTATATTTGAATGATCCCGGACATAATTTTGTACGGTAGGCCTTTATTATCCGGTATTACGTAGGCGTAGGCCTATTTGTAATATTTGTAAACGCTAGCCATTTTGTAAGACTAGATTTTGAAATTTATCGGTAGTTCATTTTAAGATTTTATTATATAATTATTA